TTGTACCAGTTTGCAGACGGATGTCTTTGGTTACCTGTATATAATTTTAAAATAATAAAAGTTGATACTTTCAGTACTTCCTGCTCCGTCTCTGCTTTCTCTCTCGCCTCACATTTCATTCAGAAAGATATTTGAATGTCTTTTAATCTGCAATGTATTGATGATTTTGATGCAAAAAAAAAAATCGAATCAGAACTGTTGTAAGATCAGAAGTTCTTTATTGATCCCAATTTGTGAAATGTTTGCGTTGCAGCAGCATAAAAAGACAAGGCATTGTACATTAGAGGAATTAAAAGACTAGAAATAAACAATCGTAAATGTAAACAAATAGAGGAAACACTGGTGAATCCTTGAAATGTCCCGCAACGAAGGATTCAGTCCTCAGTAGAATTCCAAGCATCCTGGAGATTGGAACAGTCCTTCGGCGGGACTCGATGACGTAGCATCCTTGAAATAGTGGCTCTGGAGCAGCTTTCCTCGACACTGAGAAACACCCAGGGTGTCCGCGGGGTCTTACAGAGTATTAAAAGTTGATAAATCAATTTAGTGAAAATGAAGGCTATTAAAAAGTATTAAAAAGTATTAAAGGGCATTTTCCAAGGTATTAAATGTTGTAGCTTGTTTTCAATAAGTATATAAATTGTCCAAAGAGGTTGTATTCTACAGTCTGCCTGAATGTAATCATTGCGTAGGTGTGTAGTGTGATTCTGTGTAGTTTATTTATGGCATCCCGTTGGGTTTGACGTCATCTGAACAGGACATCACGCTCACTGCTTGATAGCGCGCTAAGGTCCGTTTACGCCGTGTTTGTTAAACAACATCGTTATGGGGAAATGCAAGTCTGCGTCCAAATGGTTGGAAGATAAGGAGGAAGGACAATCAATACTGTATATAGTCAATGTGAGGGGAAGTGTGTCGCCAAGGTAACCGGTTAAAACTCCAAGTGGAGATGAGGTCTTAAAATGTATGGAAAGCGTCTTAGAAAAGGTCTTAAAAGGTTTTACATCTGACTTCAGGATTCCTGCTTATACCCTGCAAGAGTTTAACTGATGCAGCGACACTTATTATGCTCTGGTTTGTTGGTAGTAAACATGTCAGCACCAGTGGCGGCCGGTGGTCTTTTTTTTTTGGTGGGGCTCTTGACGTACCGTAAGTGACCTACCCGGGGGGTCCGGGGGGTTTCCCCCCGGAAATTGTTTTCGAGAAATGACCCCTTAAATGATGACTTCTGGTGATGTTAGAGGGGGGGGGAAAGGAGAAATCGAGGCTTAAAAATATGAGAAGACTGATCAATACCTCCATAATCTTCAGTGTGGAAAATATTATTTATCAACCTGAACATCTACTACTTTACCAGGAATTTGTGTTCTCAGAACTGGTCTGTTTTTTTCTTTCTTAAAACTGTTCATGTTTTATGAACCAACACCTTCACCAAGTAGCTTTACAGTGAACTGCATGTGAGATATAAAATTAATAGCATCTTTTCAGTAGCATTAATTATAAATATTTAAGTGGTTCAATACAAGTCACTACAGCATTTCAAACTGAACTGTGAATAAATGCAATTTAAAAAAAATAACCACAGCACAAAATGTCATAAATTGTGTTTTTTCTTTGTTTCTCTGAGGATTATTTACAAACAGGCTTATTTACATATAGCAATAACTCAGAAATGAAAAAGCTACATCGTCTAACACGAACAACCAGTTAGCATAATGATAATATATGTGTTATGTACAATGTAACTGGCAAGGCTAGAGCAAGAAAGAACATAAAGTTTGCAAAAGGTTTAAATAACTTCAAGTATCTGTCTTCAGATTACGTGGAGGTTTTAGTCCGATGGGAAGCAGATTTTAAGCGACACCGAAGATAAACCAAAAATGTGGTGGAGCTGCAAACCGTGTAGTGTTGCTGGGACAGAACAGGAGCTATAACCGTTGGAAAATACATCACAGACAATGCAACAAACGTGGAGACAGAACAATCACTTCTGTGATAAATGCCCACTTATTAATAAACTTCTAACAACCATGGGAAACCTCCTCTCTACATATAAAGTGATATCCAAGCATGGGAAACAAAAGACAGCATTTACCTGTTTGCATCCAGCTAGCCAAGCCTTTCTTGTGTACCAGCTACTTGTGAAGCCTCGTGTATAAATGTTGTCTTTTTCACGAGATTGCTGCGATATATTCAAATCGGGTTGGTCCGGTGCAAGGTCTTTAAGCAACAATTTATCTGCCAAACTTCTCCTTTCGAAAGGATTGGAGATTAGCTCTTGAACAGAATTAGCCGGGGACCGAGGTCCGGAGACTCCACCTGCACACGAAGCCATCCTCATCAACTACTGCGTCAACCGGATACGAGTCACTGTCCAAACTACTCACAGACTGCACTGGGCGCTGACATTGGCGCCTGGTGACCGTCATCTTTGACGACGCTGATTGGCTGAAATTATATTTTCGCGGCATAGTTTACACGTTACAGATAGCAACAGTCAGCTGCTAGTGGCTGATGCTGCACTGGTTGAAGGCTCCTCTCTTAGCGCCCAGACGAGAGAAGGTGCATGGGCAAGGCCAGGCAGGAAACATGTGACTTATCAGTAACTTTAGACATCGTAACACAATTTTAAACGAGATTTTATTGTAGATTATACATTTTACTGATACCAATTATATAATATTTACCTTGTTCATTAAAAATAAAAATAAAAACATATATTTTTTTTTAAACATATTTTTTTTTTTTAATTTTAATTTTAATTATTATTATTTTTATTTTTTTTCAATATGGGAAGAGGTGGGGCGGCGCCCCTAGCGCCCCTATGGACCGGCCGCCACTGGTCAGCACTGTTGTTGTTGTTGTCCTTAGTTTGAGTCTTTATGGTTTATTGCACTTATTGTACGTCGCTTTGGATAAAGTCCTCAGCTAAATATGATGTCATGTACTGTGGCGATTCTAGAGTCTGTGGGGGCCCTCGAACCAGCTTCTCATCACCACGCACAGCCGACAGCACCCCCCCCCCCCCCCCAGGAGCGGAGCAAGGCAACAAAACTTAAGATAAGAAGCAGCATTTTACGGGGCGCTATGCATGGGGCCCCCTTGAGGGGGTTTCCCGACGTGTCGTTGCAGTAAATTAAAGTGTGTTTCATGTTGTCGTTGCTGTGGACCTTCTTAATCTACCGTCTTTGGGGGCCCCCTTCTGGTCCGGGGCCCCAAGCTGTTGCCTGCCTTGCCTGTTCGCAAGGTGCGCCCCATGTCATGTGATTCACAGAAAGTAACACCAGGATGTTTTTGTAAGAAAAATATATTTATACTCAACAAGTCTCTCGAACATTTAAAATACATTATTATTATCAGTGCCTTTTTCTCCTTCAAACCTCCAATTTCTGTCATCATTATTTCTCCAAAAAACAGATTTTCTAATTTTTCTGCAACATTTTTCAGATTTTTTTGGAAACATTTCTGCAGAAATGAGAGAAAGAGAAATGTTGCACAAATACAAACCATCAGAAGTTCATGTTTTTTGTTAAAAAAAATACATTTCAATTTCCATTTAAAAGTCTCTCAAACAGTTTAAATACACAATTATTGTCAGTGGTGGAAGAAGTACCCACAATTACAAGTTTAAGACCTTCAACGTGTAAGTTAAGTAAGAGGACACTAAGCTGAGTGTACTTAAATATTGAAAGTAAAAGTACTCGGTATGCAGAACACCGTCTTATTATTAAAAAGTATTATACTATCCTTATTTTATCACTAAAAACTGCTTCTTAATGTTGTAGTTTTTCAATGTGGAGGCAATTTGAACACAGAACTGAATCATATTCACACATCAGGGCTTTTCTGTAATTAAAAAGCAACTGAGTGTTAAATAAATTAAGTAAAAAGTAGAATATTTCCCTCTGAAATGTAGTGGAGTAGACGTAAACAGTTGCATTAGATGAAAATACACAAGTAAAGTACAAAATAGGTAAAACAAATAGTTAAATACTGCAGTAAATACTTTCCACACTGACAATTTTTTCAGTAAATTGAGAATAACACTGCATTACAGGCGGATCAATGCTGGAGCTCCATACATTTTTGAGTCTGAAAAGTGTTGGTGTCGAAGTATGGAGTTGCAATAGATGGACATACTTAAGGATAGCACAAAATACGTTAAAAAAAATGGACTTCCACCACTGATTATTTAGCAGTAAATTGAGATTAACATTGAATCTCAGAGTTTAAAGTCTTTTCTCTCCAGGACATAAAGGAACAAATCATTTCTGCAGGAAACTATATAAAAAGGTTATTTTAAAGTAATTTGGTGCCGCTGGTCCTCCCCCACGTGTCCTCATTAAATCCCCTCTGATTCTCCTCCGGTCCCCGGCTGCTCTTCCCGGTGTCTCCCGGTGTTCCCCCCGGTGTTCCCCCCGGTTTGTCCCCATGTTTGCGGCTTTTCACCGGTTCTCCCTCCTCCTCCTCCAGCAGCTCGCTCAGGGTCTCGATGTAAATCTGCGCCATCTGCAGGGTCTCGGATTTGGACAGTTTCCTTTGGTTCTGGAGCTCCGGGATAACGCTCCGCAGCCGGTCGAAGGCCACATTCAGGCCGAGCATCCTCCTCCTCTCCCGGGCATTGGCAGCGACACGCCTCCGCCTCTGCGCCCGCTCCACGGAGCTCCTTTCCGGCTGGAGGAAGCGCAGCGCCGCGGTGTCCAGGAGCTCCACGATACCGCACGGAGCTTCTCTGAGATCACAGCCGCGATTGGAGCTCCCTAACCCGGGTAAATCCTGCTGGAAAAGACCCTGGACCTGGAACTCCGAGAAGCTTTTACTGGGAGGCATCGCTTCACTTCGGGGTAAAACTTGCAGCAGAAGTTCAGGAAAGTTAACTTTGTCCACTTTGATATTTTTTGGGGGGGATTTATGGAGGCTTTATGGGGGCGTGGAGAGGGTCGTGTGCCGCCTAATGAACAGAGCCAAAGGACCCAGCGGGGGGCCATTAACTGAGTTCATCAAAAGGGGATTAGAAGCGACTGAGTGACCGCTGAGGAGGAGGGGGGAGAGGAGGGGGTGAGTCTGAAAGGAATAACATGAACCTCAGAGCAGCTTTACTTTAAAGGTCTCCTATTATACTATTTCTAGGCATATTTTATAGGTCTCAGATATATAAAAATATATAACAAACATGTCTATGAAGTGTTTTTCTCAAAATGCCAAACAGATCAGCCTCATCCCCCTCTCTTTCAGCTGTTACTAAAGTGCTGATTCTGGGTATAAAGCTTAAATATATAAATAAATAAAAAAGAGTAGATCTCATCAGGAGAACTCTCCCAGCAGAAACTCAGCTAAACGCTGCCGTGATGAAACTCCATATCATGTTCCAAACCACATCAAGGATTCTCTCTGAAACAGTATGGAGCTCAAACTCTTTCTCTCTCTCAGGTTTACCACAAGGTGACTTCCTTTTGATTTCCTGCTTCTTCACACATACTCTCTCCAGTACAGGTTAGCTCTGAGTGTTAGCATGCTAATGTAAACACAGACCATATTACTTCCAGAACACGTCTCATTGTTTCTGACAGCAACGTTTCTGATTGGCCCGTGGGTGTAAAGCCCGCCCACATTTTAGTAATGTCGTCATGACGCAGCAAATCTGGATCAGCTCCGTTGTTCCCCCGTTTTTAGAGACGTGGGTACGGAGGAAAAGAGAGAGGGGTTTGTTTCCTGACACTTTGTGAGTCTCCTGACACACCGGGGACACACCGGGGACACACCGGGGACACACCGGGGACACATGGTGATGTTGAGAAGACATCACTTTGTGAGTCTCCTGACACACCGGGGACACACCGGGGACACAGGGTGATGTAGAGAAGACATCACTTTGAGAGTCTCCTGACACACCGGGGACACAGGGTGATGTAGAGAAGACATCACTTTGTGAGTCTCCTGACACACCGGGGACACACCGGGGACACAGGGTGATGTAGAGAAGACATCACTTTGAGAGTCTCCTGACACACCGGGGACACATGGTGATGTAGAGAAGACATCACTTTGTGAGTCTCCTGACACACGGGGACACACCGGGGACACACCGGGGACACATGGAGATGTAGAGAAGACATCAGAAAGTGACTTTTGCATGATAGGAGACCTTTACTAAGAAATGAGTATCATTACAAAACAGCTTTCTCCCTAATACAAAGTGAGTGTATTAGACTCGTGTTTGTTGCCCTGTAGTTGTTTCAAAGTTTAGAAAATAATAAAATATGCTGAAAAACAACAAAATGAAAATGTTAATGTGCTGAAATGTCTCGGAGACAAAACCCTCCAAAAACGTTGTTTGCATTGAACCTCTCAGTTCTCTGTTTGAAGGATCTCTCGGCAGAGGGGAAGTTCATTATTTATAAAAACGTTATTTTGCATTTATGAATAATACATTTTGATTTAAAGTTTGATTTACACTTGTTTGTGGTTCACAGAAAAGATTTAATGCTTTTTATGATTTCTTTATTTTGTTCACATTTTTATATTAACTTTTTTATTTGTTTGTATTTAATCTTATTCATTTATTTCACTTTCCTGAAGTTCACTGTAACGGAAAGTTCAGTTAAGTGTTCTGCAGACGTGGACTCTCGTCCTCTACTGGTATATTTGTTTACTAACTCTGTCCTCTCCTCCTCTTGTTTACTTCCTCTCGTCTCTTGTTGTTGATATTTGTTTACTAACTCTCATCTCTTGTTGTTGATAATTGTTTACTAACTGTTGTCTCTTGTTGTTATTTGTTTACTAACTGTTGTCTCTTGTTGTTATTTGTTTACTAACTCGTCTTGTTGTTGCTATTTGTTTACTAACTGTTGTCTCTTGTTATTTGTTTACTAACCCTCGTCTCTTGTTGATATTTGTTTACTAACTGTTGTCTATTGTTATTTGTTTACTAACCCTCGTCTCTTGTTGTTATTTGTTTACTAACTGTTGTCTATTGTTGTTATTTGTTTACTAACCCTCATCTCTTGTTGTTGCTATTTGTTTACTAACTCGTCTTGTTGTGGAGGTTCATTCAAAGCGGCCTCCTGATGTTTTCCTCCTGAGTCTGACGGACAGAAGTTGGCAGATTTTCAGCTTTTCTTTACAAAACTCTTTCAAAGACGGCAGCGGGTAACAACGGCACATAATGGACTCCTTATGGCGGGGGGGGGGGGTGATCTTTGGGGGGGGGGGTGCTCAGATGACAGTTGTTGGCTCCGGTTTATTAAAATGAAACGTCTCGTTGGTGCCAGAAACGACACGGGCCGGAGCTCAAACCCTGGAGAACCAATCACAGAGCAGGTACAGGAACCAATCACAGAGCAGGAGTCAATCACAGAGCATGAACCAATCACAGAGTAGGAACCAGATCACAGAGCAGGAGCCAGATCACAGAGCAGGAGCCAGATCACAGAGCAGGAGCCAATCACAGAGCAGGAACCAGATCACAGGCGGAAGCGTGTGGCGCAGTGGATAGAGCGTTGGTGTTCGGATCAAGGGAGCACAGGTTCAAACCCCACTGCAGTCAGCATGTCGTTGTGTCCCTGAGACACTTCACCCCAAACTGCTCCTGTGGGGATTGTCCACAGTATTGAGTATGTAAATCGCTTTGGATAAAAGTGACTAACAAGTAACATGTAATGTAATGTAATCACAGAGCAGGAACCAATCACAGAGCACCATTTCACCTTCAAATCTTTAACAATAAAGAGTGTTTGTTTGGTCTTTTAGCCCATTTTACACATCTATCACTATTTCTCTTAACATTTTGGTTTTCACATTCAAATTTTACCCGAATGAAACTTCCTGTTTGCAGACGAGTGATTTCCTCGTGTAGCCCATTTGACACGGATGTATTTCACTTTAAACTTGAATTGCAATCAAACCTCTGATTTATTCTGAGTTTAACCTCAAGTTTAAATTTGCAAACGTTATCACAAAATCGTTTTTGTTTGTTAGCCCATTTTACACAGACAGTGGCGATCCTAGAGTCTGTGGGGGCCCTAGGCAAACATTCACTGGGGGCCCCTCGAACCAGCTTTTCATCACCACGCACTGCCGCCCCCCCCCGGAGCGGAGCAAGGCAACGAAACCTAAGATAAGAAGCAGCATTTTACGGCGCGCTATGCATAGGGCCCCCTTGAGGGGTTTCCCGACGTGTCGTTGCAGTAAATTAAAGGGTGTTTCATGTTGTCGTTGCTGTGGACCTTCTTAATCTACCGTCTTTGGGGGTCTACTGGTCCGGGGCCCCAATCTGTTGCCTGCCTTGCCTGTTCGCAAGCGGCGGCCCTGTACACAGATTCTCCACACCAAGTTTTAACATTTTCAACGAGAAAAGACATGTTTTTTAGCCCATTTGATCAGATTTAAAACTAAAAGGAACACGAGGTCTAAGTGCCGTTCAAGTTTAATCTCCAGGTTGCACATTTCTTTTGAACGAGTGTTTTTTAATACGTCTTTTAGCCCATTTTACATTCTTTCATTACGTTTTAAACTAGTTTGGCACCAACACAGAAGGTCAACGGTGCATTCAAGTGCTCCTTGGATCTTCCTATTTTTAAATCATTCTTGCTAATTTGGTGTTTTAATGAGTTTTGAGTCGTAATCTGGAATCTTATTGGAAAAGTAAACCTTTATAAACAGTTTACAAATAAATCTGAGACTTCCTAAAACTGCAGCTTGTTGTTTTAAAGGGGACCTATCATGCAAAATGCACTTTGTGATGTCTTTGATACATAAACATGTGTCCCCGGTGTGTCAGGGAACTCACGCAGCGTCAGAAAATAAAACCCTCTCTCTTTTCCTCCGTACCCAAATCTCTAAAAACGGGGGAACAACGGAGCTGATCCAGATTTGCGTCCGATATGACGTAATATCTGAAATGTGGACCCACGGCCCTATCAGAAACGTTGCTATCAGAAACAATGCCCGACTGTTTTGGACGTAATATGGTCGGTGTTTACATTAGCATCGCTAACACTCAGAGCTAACCTGTACTGGAGAGCATGTGTGTGAAGAAGCAGGAAATAAAAAGGAACTCACCTTGTGGTATAACCGGCAAGAGAGAAAGCCTTTGAGCTCCATACTGTTTCAGAAACAATCCTTGATAATCCATGATATGGCGTTTCATCACTGCTGCATTTTAGACAGTAGCTGCTGGGTCCCGCATAAGCTCCGCCCCCCCCTCTTAAAAGCGGATATGAGGCATGTCTAGAATGGGTGATCTGTTTGGTATTTTGAGCAAAACACTTCATAGACATGTTTTTAATATATTTGTATATATCTGAGACCTATGCTATTGCCTAAAAATAGCATGATAGGTGACCTTTAAATCAAACGGGAGTATTGTGCATTTGCAAGGGACTATTTTCAGCGGCGTATTAATCCACATTTGGTGCTCTTGTGAGTATTTGAGTCAAAATACATTTAAAGGTTTGGTTTGTTCATGTTTTCTTTAACCAAGAAGTAGTTTGATCAGGCTTTTAAACACACAACGCGTGTCAGTAGATTGTTGTTATTTCTCATTGAATTTGATGACGGTACGAAGAATAAGGACTTCCTTTTAAACTTAAGATTTGTCCCAAAAACCAGCAAAATGCAGATTTCTACTGAAGAGATATAACTAAAGTGTGCTGGTCAGTAATTAGCGGAGGTTGCGCTTCAGCTGTTCACACGCTGCACTTTGTTAAACCCAATGAAACGGCTCGTTGGACGACACGCGCCGCAGATCAAAACCTTTTCTATCCTTTCAGCTCGGAGGGCTTCGGGTTTCAGATCGATCTCCTCTCCTGAAGTCCAGACTCTGCTTTCAG